ATTATTTTCATTTACCTGTGTTTAAAGTTATTGCAAATGGATGGTATTTTTGTTCGAGCATATTGTTTTTCTTTAATTGTTTAACATTTCTTACCGATATAACATGTTACTTTTATTATTCTTCCCTTAGTTAATTTATTTTGTATTCAAAATTATTTATTTTGTAAAAATATTTCCTTTCTCCATTGGTACTGTACACGTATACCTAACAACAAAATTATTTTCATTTACCTGTGTTTAAAGTTATTGCAAATGGATGGTATTTTTGTTCGAGCATATTGTTTTTCTTTAATTGTTTAACATTTCTTACCGATATAACATGTTACTTTTATTATTTTTCCCTTAGTTTATTTATTTTGAATTAAAAACTGTTTATTTTGTAAAAATATTTCCTTTCTCTATTGGTACTGTATACGTATACCTAACAACAAAATTATTTTCATTTACCTGTGTTTAAAGTTATTGCAAATGGATGGTATTTTTGTTCGAGCATATTGTTTTTTCTTTAATTGTTTAACTTTTCTTACCGATATCACATTTTACTTTAATTATTCTTCCCTTAGTTTATTTATTTTGTATTTACATTGTGTCATAGGTCAAATTTATTTGTTCAGTGTATGTTCAATGGTGTTAATATGTCCTTTGATTGAGTTAAGCTATTTCAGTTGATATTTTATAGTGTGTCTTTCTATGTTGTGATGTTACACTATGATTTCAAAAAAAGGGTGAAGGTTTGGTACCATTAAAACGTTTAAACCCGCTGCATTTGTTTGCACCTGTCCTAAGTCAGGAATCTGATGTTCAGTAGTTGTCGTTTGTTGATGTGGTTCATAAGTGTTTCTCGTTTTTTATATAGATTAGACCGTTGGTTTTCCCGTTTGAATGGTTTTACACTAGTAATTTTTTGGAGCCCTTTATAGGTTACTGTTCGGTGTGAGCCAAGGCTCCGTGTTGAAGACCGTACTGTGACCTATAATGGTTTACTTTTATAAATTTTGACTTGGATGGAGAGTTGTCTCATTGGCACTCATACCACATCTTCTTATATCTATGACAGCTCATCTTACAACCAGTGCATCAGTCGCAGGTATACTCAAATTTGACGACGTCAGCTTCATTATAGCCATTAATAACCTCGCATCGTACAAAAGTACTGAAAAGTTTGTTTGTGAGAGAAAGGGAATATATCTGATTTCTTCGTCAATCATGTCCACCTCAAATTATGGTTTTTACTACATTTACCTGAATGGAAGACAGATAACTAACACAATGACTGGTTTTAACAGTAATCCCCTCCTACAGTTCACCAAACCGGTACTATTGTTGTAGCACTTCAATTACGTCCTAATGATAGTGTATGGTTATACAATACTGGCAACTATACTATGAAAGGAGGGTTATGGTCTACGTTGACAATTGTAAAAGTGAAATAAGATTAACGAACGTATGTCAGAATTATAAATATAGTTTATTTACATAATATACGTATTACATTTTTCTGGTCTCCCTTCCAACCTTAAATTATAATACCTATATCACGTGAGGGTACCCAAATTGCACCTTTTTTGACAGTTTTTCACTTACGTTTTTTTATGATCCAGACAAAAGTTTCCATTAATTCTGTGTTTATTTTGTAGATGGATTCTTATTTACTATATAGTTACACCAATTTAATTTTGAATCCATCTTGAATCAAAAATGGGTTTGAACCAACCTCCAAACAATCCATGATTCTGTAATGAGAAGTACCCAAAATGCATACGTGCTTAAAAATCAAATAACAGACATTTTCTTTTATTTCTTCAAATATGTTGAACAATTTGACATTAGTCCATGTTTACATTTTTTTTTAGATGGATGCTTGTAACAAATTTATTTGCTCATTTTTAAAAGATGACTTTTCGTGGACGTCGCATGGCGAATATCCGTATATTTTACTTTTTTAAGTGAATACATCATCTGTTGATATATACTGTTAACGTTTTGTGTATATTGAAAAATATATACTACCTATGTTGAAAAACGTGTATAATGTCAAATCATGAAAATACAAATTGTTCAGTCTCAAAGAAATCTTTCTGAATAGGTGCAATTTGGGTACTAGGTGCAATTTGGGTACTCTGACGGTTTTTACCTTAACACATTTGATAGAATACTGGTTTAGATTATCCATGTGAAAGTTCAGATAGTTTTGATCTAGCACGGTTACTGTCCGTAAATTTCTTACAATTTTCCAAATATATTCAATTTGAAATATTTTAAAATAAAATTATATTTATTTTTGGTCCTACTCTTTTTTAAAGCCCAGAATTAGGGCACAATTGCTTTGCCTAGAGTTGCAATGGTACATGTAGTATTTGATGAAGCAGTCTAAATCCGTTTTTCTCACGAAATCAGTCCATTTTTAGTAACGTTGGCCTTGACCTTAGACAAGACCTCAAAATTGAAAGGTATCTTCATTGCATTACATGAGACCATATATTTAAACAAGGTTCCTGTTGCATGTATAGTATTTGATATAGAATCCACAAACCCTTTTTCCGCACAAAATGCAGTCCATTTTTTTTTTAACCCTGAACACAGTTACCCTTAAAATAATATGGATCATCTGCTCATCACATGTGATCATATATTTTACCCTTTTTTTTCGTCTTAAGCCTAATAGTAAAAGATACTTCAGGTGAAAGTTATAATAGAATGTGCTAGTAAAATAAAAGTAATACTCCCTTGAAAGAACATTTTAATGCATTCCATTAATCTTTTTCCAACCACTAGTGGAAATACCTTTATAGTGAATTTCATGAATACATATTAAAAACATTATATCAAACATTTGTGATATTTTGACCCATAAATCATCCATTCATGATGGTCAAGTTGATAGCTATATATGATAATAATTTAGTGTAAATGTAGTCTTTTAATCAATGTATTTGTTAAAAAAATTGAAACCTATCAATTTCAGGTATATATAATTATATCTGTGTTTTGATTTAAATTACTATTGTAATCATTAGCCAGTCACCTGAGGTTGTGATTTCAATATTCCAGCCCGTTCAGGAGAGCACTTGACTTACATGTAAATTGTATATATATGTATAAATAATTGAATTTTATATATATATATATATATGTGTGAAGAAAATTAGAGAGGAATAAAAAGAAAAGAAATTATATCAATATTCTACAGCTATAAAGATTAACTTGAACGCTAGATCTGTTTGGGCATTTAGCCAAGGATTCCTTGTGAATTTTTCCTTCAAGAAGGCGTTGAGTCTCTTCTAAAATAACGAGAAAAAAAATGAATGATAATTTTTTTCAAAGAAAGCATATATACATGTATTTAATAAGCTGAACGATAACAATAATGTATAATAAGTACAACATGTGTCAGTGTGTAGGCTACATGAATGATATAAATTTATAACTGCAGGTTATGCATTCTTCTCTTTTATTTAATTCTTATAATTTCAAGTGTTCAAAGAAATAGTAAAATCTCAAACTTCATTTAAATACATACATTTCCTAGTAATTTGTATTTAAATTGATGGGAAGTTAAAGATTACCAATAATTTACCTTGAAGGAACAATCATCCATGGAAAATGCCTTGCTGGTGTTTCCATTGGACTTTAAATGTTCCACATCAGCTTGTATAACCTTTACTATTTTCTCTAAACTTGTTAACTTGGCCACTGTATCAAAGACAAACAGATTTTGAAGATGAATATATTATCAATTTAAACAGCTGTACTGCGACTTTCCGAATTTACTGACATAAATGAAACTCAACCAACCCCCATTTTTGACAAGCAATTATAGAAGATTCAGATGTTGACACAGTGATTCTACTGGGTCTGAATGCAATTTCCCACTTCATGGCATATATATGACACCCTGAAACTTGCTGGGATTCAAACTTAGGTTACTGAGAGATAAAATTTCTGAAGTAATCATATATATATATAAAGAATAATACATGGCAAAATCCGTATCGCATGCTGTATCACCACGAGAAGCCAATATCAGTCCCGAGGGCTGATATTGGTCGAGTGGTGATACAGCATGCGATACGGATTTTGCCATGTATTATTCTGTTTATCATATATTTAAATAGAATCAGATTAATGTGATATACGTTTTTTTTTAAATCGTCCGAAAATAAAACAAACAAAAGAACATAAGGACTTTTCAAGCTGATTTAGTTTTTTTTATAGGCTTCCTTATTTGCTTAATATCCACATCGTAATGTCCCATACGACCTTATTACATGCTCAATATAGAGCTATGAAACTGGCAAATAATATACTTTAAGACCATGTATTTAAAAGCTTTCACTAACAGTAGTGTCAACTATTCCCTCCTGTAGAATACAACCCACCTTCTCAATATTTGTTGTTAAGTTTAATCATTATACTACAATCTGAACTCATTTGTATACATAAATATGGACAACAATGTTACCAAGTATCATCTATTCAGAGATTATTAACAGACAAACAGGGGATTCCTATATACGCAGTCAGTGGACAAAAGTGAGTTCCCACTAGAAAACTTATTGTATCTATTTTATAAAAATTGCTTATAAAGTTACTGGGTAATATTTTTTTGAAAAATATCGATTTTAGTTGAAATGATATGACATTTCTTGAGTGGGAACTCACTTTTTTTCCTATGCCAGGAAATACAGCAACTGGACGTCATAGGTCAAACGTTGACGTCATTTGATTTATGACGTCACGCCAGGTATGCGATACAGATTTGGCTATGCGATACGGGGTATGCGATACAGGTTTAGCTAAAAAAGAACCTTTGTTAGATATACAAAATTGCTGTATTTTGTACTAAATATATGATAAATATATATAAAGAGTCTAAATTGAAAACAACGTTCAAACCTATGATTGCGTTGGATAAAAATTTTTGCGGTCGTATATTGGCAGAAGATGAACACCATCGGCATCAGATTGAAGTTGAACCACCACTGGCACAAGACACACCAATGGAAACAGATAATGACGGTTATCTGGAACTGAATGATGGTTATCTGGAACTTGGTGATGTTGATCAAGAGCATGGTAAGTTTTAAAAGCATTGTCATCTGCAAAATCAATTTCCGGTCACATTCCAGAAATGTACTTTTAACATGAAATGTAAACAAACCGTGTCGGTTAAAAGCTCAGTAGAGCTTATGTTGTCTCAGACTCTCTGTTTGTTTACTTTGCCGACTCTAAATAGAGGTTATTTGTTATTAATGTAAATCGTGATAATTAATTCTGGATAAGTATAACAATGCAATGACTTTTAAAAGTTTAAACTGTTTCATTAGCAGATTTTTCCCAAAGGATTCAATCTGAAGTAGAAAATGAAACAGCAGACAGTACCACATACATGTACAACCAAGAACAAGAACATGAAAATTGGCATCCATTCAGCTCAAAGGCAGAATGTCTTTTGTACATACTGATGAATTCTTCGACCCATCATGTTGTAAGTATGGAGTCCAGTGCTCCATCATGTATGTAGCCTAAAATATATGTATTTTAAACTCTGAAAAAAATGTGTATTTTGATAGTTCTGTTTACATTAAATGCTTGCTTATACCAGGAACATATATATTGACAGGACTTGACACTACCTAATTGTAGCCTATTTTATCGTCAGGTTTTAGGTACATGTAATAAAGATACGATACAGAAACGGACATGTGTTAAATACATACTCGCTATTATCCTAATAATTTCTGATAATATCAATAAAATGTCATTCAAACTAGTTTTACAGTGATGCCAGTGTATCAAACTTGTATTCTGTCACTTTAAAATTGTTATAATCGCATTCATTTTATCACAGAATGGTACAGAATGCAAACAAGGTAATAAAAAAATGGCGCCGATTGCCTTCCCAAATTCAAAAACATTATAAAACACTTCACATCAAATAAATCACACTTCTTTTGGTCATTTTATATGACAAAATGTATCTACTTTATGATAAAACTTGTATTTATTTACGATTAGAATTATGTGGTTAATTTATTGAGCAGTTCCGATAGTTTTTCAGTCAGACGCCACCAAAATCCATAAATCTCGTGCAGTCCTGAGATTTTATCAATTTTATACTGAAAAGCCTATCAGATTCATTTCCCTGTTAGATATACTGTTCCCAGCTTATACATTTTTATAAATTAGCATTTAACCATTATTTTATCTAAAATGTATAAAGTGTTCCTTTATGATTTGTTTTATTGATTTTATACCTTCTCTAAGATTGCTGTAAAAGGGGGCCTGCAGTCATGCTTCAGTGATTCCATATATAATAAAAAAAAATTCCCAGTAAAAGGGGGGCTGTCTTTTTGGCTCCCCATTTATCTGCCTATGATGTACTTATTATGAATATTGTCAGCAAATATATACCTTATTACATTGATCACTATTTTATCATATTTTTTTTTAGAGCGATGAAGTTGTCAAATTTATTATATTTATGATGGCTGAATTGGGTATTAGCAGTTTACCAACTCTGCAACAGTTGAAATCAAAAAAGATTGGGAAATTTAATTGGGAAGACATAGTAACAAAGGTTGGTATTTTGACTGAAGAGTGAAGACCAACCAATATTAAGGGCAATTCAGAAAATCAATTTAACAGTCTTTAAAAAAACTCACTTTCGTTCTATAGATACATTAAATGTGAGGCTATTTTTTATTTGAAATTCATGATCTACCAAAATGTAGTACTAAGTTTTCCATAAAAGAAATCAGAAAGTTTTATACAAATACCCCTTGTAAGCATGATATAAATGTTCCATTCAACTGAATGTTCTTTGTATCAATCTTGACTTCAGAAACTTTATTGTAATCAGGTAACAATGGAGTTTTACTTGACTGGAGTTTTTTTTTGTATATACATGTAATGCAGCTGTGCTATTTGCGCAGTCAAGTTGCATTGCGTATATACATTTATGATAATTTTTTATGTACAATCACTGAACCTTTATATCTCATTATTTATGACATTGGCAATGCGTTGCCGTTGATTTTTAAGTCTTCGTTCGTTTGGGAAGACTTATTGGTTCTTCTTCTTCTTCTTCTTCTTCTTCTTCTTCTTCTTTGAACTTGTCCGCCTCTTCTTCTTCTTCTTCTTCTTTGAACTTGTCCGCACCCGTTCTCCAAAACCCCTTGTCAGATTAACTTAGGGTTTCACAATATGCTAGACTAACATGTCTAGTGGTGCAATCAGGGTTTTGTTTGTGCATTGGGGTTTATAAAGGGGTACTTTGAGGGGCAAAAAGAAAGGAGGGTTTTACTATAGAACCCTATGGGATTTTATTTTTAAAAATTTTCAACTGATTATAAATTGAAAACCTTTTGTGATAGACACAATCTTTTTAATTGAAAATGTTCTAAATGATAAAGCACATTAAATGAAATACAGGGTTAGTCCCCAGGGGTCACCCCCACCCCCTGCCATTTGAGAAAATTCTAATATCTTGTAAATGGTCGAGATCCCCACCCCTAAACCATATATATTCTGGTTTGTCATGCTAAGATGGTTTGAATGATATACAGGGTTAGTCCCCAGGGGTCATCCCGACCCCCTGCCATTTGAGAAAGTTCTAATATCTTGTAAATGGTCGAGATCCCCACCCCTAAATCATATATATTCTGGTTTGTCATGATAAAGCACATCAAATGAAATACAGGGTTAGTCCCCAGGGGTCACCCCCACCCCCTGCCATTTAGAAAAAGTTCTAATATCTTGTAAGTGGTCAAGATCCCCACCCCTAAACCATATATATTCTGGTTTGTCATGATAAAGCACATGAAATGAAGTACAGGGTTAGTCCCCAGGGGTCACCCCCACCCCCTGCCATTTAAGAAAGTTCTAATATCTTGTAAGTGGTCAAGATCCCCACCCCTAAACCATATATATTCTGGTTTGTCATGCTATGATGGTTTGAATGATATACAGGGTTAGTCCCCAGGGGTCATCCTGATCCCCTGCCATTTGAGAAAGTTCTAATATCTTGTAAATGGTCGAGATCCCCACCCCCTAAACCATATATATTCCTGTTCATCATGTCTCGAACATTTGAATGATGTATGCGGTCAGTCCCCAGGGGTTCCCCCCACCCCCAATGTTCTAATATCTTGTAAATGGTCGAGATCCCCACCCCTTAACCATATATATTCCTGTTCGTCGTGTCTTGAACATTTGAATGATGTATGCGGTCAGTCCCCAGGGGTTCCCCCACCCCCAATGTTCTAGTATCTTGTAAATGGTCGAGATCCCCACCCCTAAACCATATATATTCTGGTTTGTCATGCCAAGATGATTTGAATGATATACAGGGTTAGTCCCCAGGCATCACTAATGCATATACTTTACTGGACCAAACCAATTTTCACTGGACTTTGGCGACACTGGGAATTTCGAATTATGGGAGCTTCGTTTGGGAGACTTCGTAACAGCATCGATATCCTGTTACAATCATTTCTTGTTATTTATGATGTCATTAAAAGTAGAGGTTCACAAAATTTTTACATCACTCGCTCCAAATTCAATAATTATGTTTTATATCCTATATATTTCATTTGTACAGTTGTAAGAGTTACAGTATATAATGGATAACAAACAAATTTGTCCTATTATAATAGAAATAATTCATTGGGTTATTTCTAGACATAGTATTCCACATCTGCCATGGGTATATCCTAGTTTGCTAGCAAATATCCGGCACATGGAATTCTCTAATAACAAATACACAGAGAAAAGGAAATCTCAATAAGTAGAAATTGGTAAAAAAATACCATGTCTCAGTCATGCAATGAAAATACAGCATTATTACAGAATTACAGAACAGATATATGCATTGAAGTTTAAATATTGATTACAGGGTTTTAATGAAGAAAAGATTCCTATATGGATTTTAAAGCCATCCCAGATACTAAAACTAGGCCTAGCACATCCTAATACAGCCAAGAAACTGAAAAGGTATACATTTGATTTAAATATAATTTTTTGATACAGTATTCCATTTAACACAATCTTTATATGCCTGTTTACGGGACATATAATGGTATATCGTTGTCCTCATACAAGTCAAGTAAAATTTGTAATTTGTTGAATATTTAAATTTGTGGTTCACCTGGTATCCATTAAAAATAATGAATCCCCAGTATAGATAAAATCACATATCCAAGATACAAATACTGCCATTAAAAAAAATCTCATAACTATTTGTAGTAGAATGACAAAATTATGCACACAATTAAAATTTTGTTCCCAGTATTCTTGGTGGCAATGGCAAAAAAATCAAGAAGACATGCAGATAGATTTTTATGTTTTGATAACTTCTATAAAATTTTAAACAGATCACCTGAACCATCAGTTGAAGTAACTCATCCCGCCAATGGAAAGAAATGGACAGAAGAAATACCCTTTGCTCAACAAAAAGAGGATGGTACACCAGTGGTAACCATGCCACTTAACCTCTTCTTAGATGACACATCTACACATAAGAGCAAGCGCTGGTTGCCACTGCATTGTGTTCAGATGCAATTGACAGGTAAAAAGACAATCAAATGAGAAATCAAACCGTTATGAAAATTATGCATGTTATTAGAAGATTACCAAGGAGACAACTCTGCATTCAAGACCAAGTGTCGTAAATATATGCAATGATAGTTCTTAGTACAGACCTCAACAATGAGCAAACGAAAAATCCAACATGATTTATAAAACTGCAATTAAAGTAGTAAAAGTTACATATTGTTTAATTGTTACATATATTTATTGAAACTCTAACATCATACACTTTACACATGTTGTTTCTTTTGTATGCACCCTTTAGTTCTCAGTCACCCTCCTGCCTAATGCTAGCTGGCCTGTAGTGTTTATTATATACATTTGCTATAGACAACACTGCTATGTAACATATAGGCAAGGTGAACGGTGTTGGAAATCAGTGATTTTCATGTAATGATTTTGAAATAGCTGGAAAATATTAATGCATTATCGCATGAACTATTAACCAGGCTCTACAAGCATCATGTAACCTGGGGGTTCCAACTAGCGTTAGAAACAGTAAATATAAAAAAGAAGATGTGGTATGATTACTATGTAATAACTGCTTTAAGTTTACTAAAACTACAACAAAATACTAGTTTGATTTATTTGAATTTTGAATGATATTTTCTTAAAATAAACTGGTACTAACTTGTGAAAATGACCATAGAACATGACCTAAAAAAATTATTTAAAAAATAATTGGTAATCCTATTTAAGAAGCAATCTCTTTTTAGGACTGCCTATTGAAATGCGCCAGAAACAAAATTACATTCAGTTTGTTGGAGCAACAGAGAAAGGAGACATTATGGATGTGGTGAAAATGATTGGTGAGGACATCAAAGATATAAATGAGTATGTATAATTGAGACAATAATTTCATGAATGTGCCACTTTAAATTCAATGGGAGACAGTCTAGAGATAATGCAAATAAAAATTTGTATCAATTTCAAATTAACAATAAATTCTGTAAATTTATAGACCCATTGGTGGCCGTCGGCTGTTATCTGGTCTTTGGGTGAGTTGTTATCTCTTTGACATATTCCCCATTTCCATTCTCTACTTATTGTTATTTTTGTCGAGCCTGCGACTTTTGTCACAGAAAGATCGACATAGGGATAGTGATCCTGCGGCGGCAGCAGCAGTATTAGCTTACTTCTTAAAAGCTTTATACTTTAGAAGGTGGAAGACCTAAATGCTTCATACTTTGTATATAGATGCCTCATGTTATGAAGTTTTCGTCTGTCACATGTCCATTGTCCCTTCAGTGAATACTTGAAAAAAAGTTGAATTTTTGTAATGTTAATTTCTTTCTTATTATGATAATAGGATAACTATATTTGGTATGTGCGTACATTGCAAGGTCCTCATGCTCGTCAGATAGATTTCACTTGACCTCATTTCAAGGATCAGTGAACAAGGTTAAGTTTTGGTGGTCAAGTCCATATATCTCAGATACTATAAGAAATAGGTCTAGTATATTTGGTGTATGGAAGGACGGTAAGGAATACATGTCCAACTGGCAGGTGTCATCTGACCTTGACCTCATTATCATGGTTGAGTGTTTATAGTTAAGTTTTTGTGTTTCGGTTTGTTTTTCTTATACTGAATACAATAGGTCTACTATATTTGGTGTATGGAATGATTGTAAGGTGTACATGTCTAGCTGGCAGGTGTCATCTGACCTTGACCTCATTTTCATGGTTCAGTGGTCAAAGTTAAGTTTTTGAGTTTTGGTCTTTTTTCTTATACTATACACTATATATGCAATAGGTCACCTATATTTGGTGTATGGTAATATTTTATGATGTATGTGTCAGTCACACAGGTTTTATTTGACCTTGACCTCATTTTCTTGGTTCATTTATATTTGTTGTATGGAAGAATTGTAAGCTGTACATGTCTTCCTGGCATGGTTCATCTGACCTTGACCTCATTTTCATGGTTCATTGCTCAATGTTTAGTTTTCTAAATTAAGCCTGTTTCTTAGAAACTATAAGCAATAGGTCGACTATATTTAGTGTATTGAATGATTGTAAGGTGTACATGTATTTCTTGTTTTTTTTAATATGAGCATGACTTTGACCTCATTTTCTTTGATCATGTTAAGTTCATGAAAATGTGATAGTTGTAGTTAAGCTTTATAATTAGGACTATCAACATAATATCAATGATTAATAGTAAAGAAGGCGATACATTTCAGCGTGTGCACTCTTGTTTAATATTTTACATGATTTAAAAATTAAGATAGACTATTGTTGGCTGAAAGTTCTGGCAAATACACATATACCCTCATTGCATTATACAAGGAATGATGTTCGACAAATCAGCCCAACAACACTTAAAGGGTAATATGTGTTACAGTAGCTGCAAACTTCATTTGTGGAATAATATGTTTTATTATAAGTTTCACTTTTAAATGCAAGATTTTGATTGGCTAACATTCATGACACATTTTACAGAAATGGTATTGATGGGTATGATGCACACAAGCAGGAAAAGTGCAGTATCAGTACAGCAGTTTCAGCAGTAGTGTCTGATACAGCTATGACATCATACTGCTGTAATCACTTGGGGGCTACAGCCACAAAATACTGTCCAAGATGTGAGGTATACATATTTTACAACTAGCATTTGTACTAAAAAAAATAAATACATCTTGACATTGACCACAACACGTGCACCCTTACTTTTTTAGACATAAATTATCATAACACTCTACTGTATGTGGTGAGAATAGAAATTATTTTAGGATTAAGCACCCTTTCAAAGATTATTAGTGTATAATTCTCATATGATTTGTATTTCTATAAATACTTAAATTGGATTGGTCAATTACAATTTTTCTCTTGGTTTACAGTTCAATGATCCATTTCAGAAACTATTTCGTAACCTTCTCTGTAATCTATTCATGAGCAGTACACATGCATGCAGGGATCCTGGAGTTTTCAACAAACTTAGATTAAAAAACAAATACATTAATTGTTTCTATTCTAATGTATATATAACAAAAAATAAATAATGTATTAAAACTTTGAAAATAAAATTGGGTTTAGTTAAGCAAAACTGCTTGGATAATGTGCCTTGTATAGCTAGTTATGCAAAATGTTCAATGATTGTGACACATGCTTAATTAATTATTATAGAATAACTAATCGAAGAATTCAAATATAGAAAAATATTCAACGAGTGACCGAACAACACATTAATTCAAGAATGCGCGTAGCGCATAAGTTAATTATCAGTGTTGTTCAGTCACGAGTTGAATATTTTTCGATATTTGAATTCTTTGATTAGTTATTCTCTTTATTACATTGGAAAATGGCTTTTTTGTGAAATTAAAGTAGAAAATGTAAGGAACTATATCGCTTTCTACGCATTCACAATTTGTTTTGATCCGACGTTATCGACGTCTTGACAACGCCTATTGTTGTATGATGTCAGAGGAGTGAAATAACCACGTTTATTTCACATGTGAAATTATCGGTTTTTATTTCACTGGGAAATCAATGTAATTCATTGCAACCAATGTAATAATTTAAATTAACAACATTTTTTCATTATTCTACAGATATATCACCTTATCAGCAAGTTGTACATTTTCACTTTGATCTTACTGCCTGATATTTTTAAGATCATGGACAGGACTTGAAACTCGAAAATATTAGGCAATGATGTCACATGCTCAAGTCAACCTGCGTCAATTTATCAATGAAATGCGCGAGATGTCATTCATACAACCAACCAACTATCCCAACTGTTTGTACGCGTAATATTCCATATTCGCAATCAAAACCTACAGTTATGACAAATTGCTGATAAAAAGAATAATAGCATTTAATTTTTTGATACTGACTTCATCAGCTCGAATAACAGCTTGCCTTAGTCGGCTCGCTTGATATTCTTGCTGATAAAGTCAGTATCAAAAACAAAAATGTCATTATTCTATATATATCTTTTATAGGACTTGTTAATCATTTATCTTATAATATGAAACAATTAGCTATTACAGAATGCACTATAAGCTTCTTTTATTGAAAGTAAAAAAAATAATCATATTTTACACCTTATATAAGATTCCTTTTATCTATTTAATACTCTCACTGTTGATAAAGGCAGATGCTGGTCATTTTATGACTCTAGCTCAAAGGAGAACTCCTGCCAAGACACAACAACATCTCACAAGACTAAATATGCGTTCCTCAGAGAATGACAAGAAAGAACTTAGGAGAAAGAAAGGTGTTAAAGAACATTCAAATGAGCTATGGGATTTATTAGATCCTCATCGGTAAGTAGTATTATGAAAAATTTGAATCAAGAGAAAACTGAATGATAATTAGTTTTTATACGTATATTGGTATGACGTTGGTGTCGTCGTCGTCTGAAGGCACATTGGTTTTCGCACAATAACTTTAGTTTGAGTGAATGGATCTCTATGAAATTTTACCATAAGGTTCAATACCACAAAAGGAAGGTTGGGATTGATTTTGGGGGTTATGGTCTTAACAGTTTAGGAACTAGGGGCCAAAAAGAGGCCCAAAAAGGCACTCAAACTGTTTAGGAATTAGGGACAAAAAGGGGGAAAAACAAGGGTTTTCTGGTTAATGGACAATTTAAAAGCAGTGTAAGGGAGGTAATCCAAAAACAAAATTGTACAATGTTGGATTACCTCCCTTACACTGCTTTTAAATTATCAATTTAAGACTTTTATGATGTATTTAAATGGGTAATTATGGTTGCGAACTCCATTGGTAATTTGAATTGAGATTATGACCAGATCTTCAGGGAAAGAATTTTTTTTTTGGAAAAGGGGGTGGGGCAATTTTTTTCAGATTTCAGAAATTAAACCAAATTTCTTCACATTTTTTTTTTTGTAAAAAAAAAGGGGGGGCGGGGGTCAATACGCAATAGCATAGCAATTTATTGAACTTTTTCTAAATCCTAAACTTAGTTCTTTCAATAATGCAATAGAAAAATAAAGAGCCACAACCAGAAGCATTTTCTACCAAACATATGAACATATATTCCTTATCTGTAAGAAATATTGAATTGTATTTTCAGAGATATGCCAGTAGGTCTTTTACATCTGATACCATTGGGGCTGGCACAGCACCTCATCAAATTTATATTCAGTATGCTGCCAGAGGAAGTAATAGACAAACTTATGCTGCATCTCTTATATATGGTTCCTGGCTGCCAGTTTATTGCTTTCAATAAACATTTAGGCAGCAGACAAGGGAAAGACTTTAAACAATATGTAAGTTGAAGTTGAAGATCCTTGGGTGGCCTTTTGTTTTTTTTTTACATTTTGATTGGGTTGCTTTCTCTATGACACATTCCCGGTTACTCCTAGTTATTTGATTTCCAGTGACTATTTTCTTTTGTTCATCTATCATTCAGCTAATGATTGAGGCAGCACAGTTGCTTTAGATACACAAAAGTATTTGTAAAAGAAGTTGGAAATCAAATCCAGGACTTAAAAATACCTAAATTTTGAAAAAAAACATCAATCAAAATGTACTATATTGTTTTAAAAAATGATTTCTTGCAAAATTCTAATAGGACAAATACAGTATTTTTATAGATTGAAGTGTACAAAAATACCTTAAACATGTTTAGCTGTTCTCATTTTTTCCCTGTGGAGTCTGTGCATTACATTTTCATATTTAATAAGTTTAAAAACTAAAAGCAGGGTAAATAAATGTTGCTTGATAAACAATATGTAATAAAAGTTTATTTAAGCTGCCAAAATATATATATTTGATTAAAATAACAATGAAAATAACTACAATATAAACAGTAAATTGGTGCACATGTGTCAAATAAATTGTGTGCTAATTAGAACACGGCTTTGCGTAATAAGGACGTCATATTAGAATAGATGTTAGTTTATGCATTTTTGAATACATAACAAAATATTGTATGACACTAACTTGTATGGTGTTCTATTTGGTACAATATATCAAATAATGCATAACCAAAGTATGATATCTTGATATGTAAAAGATTGTTTGAAATTGATCACAAAATAAAAAAAAAACAAAAAAAAACAATAATAATTTGAAAAATTTGCTGTTAACCAGCTATGTTCTTATTGATTAGTAAAATATCAAAACACTTTAAAAATTTTGTGGTCCTTTACTTTTTTATTGTAGTTTGTAGATTTAAAAAATACTGATAAATTCTTTTTGTTGTTGATATGATACTCAAGTAATTATTAATGTTCCATTTTGTGACTTTTGTAGTTGCAGATGGCACCCATTAATATGGCATATGCAGGGGTTGCAAGGAAATACATAAAACTTGTTGTTAGCCTGGCAAAGGTAAATATCCCAACGAACTAGAGATAAAGGATACAACAGATACAGTTAAATCGGCATCATATCTTGACTTACACTTATAAATTGACTATGAGGGCCGGTTAAAAAAAAACTTTACGACAAAAGAGATGATTTCAGCTTCCCAATTGTGAACTATTCATTTTTATGTAGCAACATTCCAGCAGAGCCTGCATACACAGAATACAGGGCTGCCAAGTCTCACGCATTTTCATGCTTATTTGGTGGCATTTTCCTTTGATCTATTGTTTTTTCTCTTTGATCTTTATGATTTTGTCCAAATCTCACGCATTTGCATTATTAAAAGTTGGCAGAACTGAGAATATATCAATCTCCTAATTGAAATGATATTCCTGCGCCTGTATGTCCTATCATGATTTCCTCGATAGAGGGGTTGCTGCTCACAAGGAAGCTATTAAAGCAAGAGTTCAAAATGGTGAAGTTGAAATCATCCCTTCCTAAATTTTTAGAGACACCATCACAAGTTGGTTGACCGTTATGGAATAACCATTTCAGAGATGATATTGGATATGTTCCTTATGTCGTAACTATAATCCCTTTCCCTTTTCACGAATATGACCTACGGAATTAGACTATTTACCAAGTTTGTAATAACATGAGCAACACGATGGGTGCCGCATGTGGAGCAGGATCTGCTTACCTTTCCGGAGCACCTGAGATCACCCCAAGTTTTTGGTGGGGTTCGTATTGCTTAGTCTTTAGTTTTCTATGTTGTGTATTGTATTGTGGTGTTGTCTGTTTATTTTTGATCTATGAATTTGAATGTCCCTCTGTGGTATCTTTCGCCCCTATCTTAAATAGTCAATAAGTACAACATTGTTTGCATTTTATAGAGAATATATCTTACTGTACAGTATAAATTAGAACTTGCTGTTTACAATTCACATCGTTTAGAAAAATGTTAAGAACAAAAAACTGATCTTAATGATTTCACAATTTTTAATATTTCATTTGAAATATTAAATGTATTTAACCATTTTTGTCAGGTTTGACATTTTTTTTTTTTTTTACAGATACAGAAGATGCTAAATGAAACATTGTATGGAGAGGAGGATTTGGAAGAAATGAGAGAAGCTATTAGAGAATACCATCAACTGATAATACTGCATGCACCGAAATTGACAAATAAAGTTAAAACTCATCTTTTACTTCATGTGGTAAATATATTGGAAAAATTTGCCTTTTGTTTTTGATAATGACTTAAAACATTTATGCTACAATTTTACTTTTTGAACAGTTATAATATGTTTTCTGTATTTGAAGTTTTTCATGGGGTGGGGAAGCACTTGCTATAAATATACTAGGTGATAGGATGTGCTTTTTCCAGCTTGAAAATATATGAGTAGGTCGGGTAAACTACCAGAGATAAGGTCAATTATATAACTTGGTAATCTTTCTTGGTGTTCCCAGCTGTGTTTTTATCAAACAATTTTACATAACACACCACCTGAAACCCAAACAAGATGGGAAAAGTTAACATTTTTGCCTGCCCAATATATGAAAAGTAATTTTTAAAATCTAAATTATATAAAAAGGTTGGGGTATCAAAACCCAAGCAGTACCCCTATCAATTAAGTATTGAAGTGACTATGTTACTTCTTTTGGTAAAACCTTACATGTATTCAAACCAAAAACATTTTTATTCCAATGACAGAGAAACTAGAATGAATAAATTATGGCACTAAATATTGCAAATGTAATGTATATTTGTATTTTTAGATAATATATGATTATTCTATATGTAACATTTCTTGTACTTTGTAGATTGAAGATATAGAACGACATGGACCACCTTCTGCATACGTAGAAGATGGATTTGAAAGGAACCATGGGAACATCAGAGATTGCATCTTCAACCAAAATCAAAAGGCCAGGAGTAGGGACACCAGTGTACAATTTGCCAAACAGCTGTTATGTAGTCATGTTGTAACTGGTGGTTATTATGAAACTGATGACACATGGTAAATTTATTTGCAAGACATGTTCAAGACAACTTTACTCGTGTTTGTATGTCTATTCTCATGCCCTCTTGCTATTAATTTACACTCACAAAGTTAAGTGTTAGGCATTCACAAAATGGTCATATTCTGACTGTTAAACTATGGAAATAAAAGGTATACTAATGCAATTTTCCTTATTAATATAAATATTAGAAAGCTTTGATAGAAATGAGATATGATGTATATTGTAATAATTACATTGCATATGTATGTTTCTTTCATTTTAATTAGTTATTTTGATTGGCTAAATTCAATCTCATGTCATCCTGAAATTAACCTTCATTTCAAAATGAAATGTAACATCCATGAGGACATGAGCTTCCACAATAAAGTGCACAGGTAAATAAAAGAAAAAATTGATATAAAACGTGTTTTCATTATCATATAAAAAAATGTGAAAATAATAATTGAATGCTTCTTTTAGTAATTTTATAAGGTTGTAAAAGCGTTGATCGTGTGCACATTTTTATAATGAAGAATTTCCGCCCTGTATAGAAAATGTACTTTGGTCAAAGCCTTTAAACCCCAATAATTTTACAAAAAGATGCAAATACCCCTCAATAATATGATATATCTGCTTAATTACTCTAAATGGATTTCAATCAAAACTCTCTGTACAGGTGACGGAAAATCTTTTTTTTTTTCACTATTTAGCTGTAATCCATATACATGATTATGCATACTTTTGAGGTAAAGAAGAGACTATCATAGTACTGCAGGAGTTATGCATGTACTTATATGCATAAAAGCTGTCTTTGTGTAAAGTCATAACATCATTGTCATTCTATCAAAATTTTGGCTGGAAAAGGTTCGTGAGTGTAAAAAAGGAATATCCAAAATGGCAAATACCACGGCATAGAGGGGAATTTGAGGCAAATTCATTTGATATGAGGAAAAAATGTAAGAATATGTGTAAAATACACTGGCTACCAACCAATCAGAATCCAGCATTCTTATTCAAGGTTTAATTATAAAAAAAAATTATGGAATAAAGAATGGAAATGTGGAAATTGTTAAAGAGACAACAAACCGGCCAAAATGTAAGGCCACCAATTGGTCTTCAACAAGTGATGAATCCCACACCCAGAGGGGGAGCTTGAGCATGCCCTGAAACAGTAATGTATACTAAATCAAGAAAATGCACACCACTCTACTGTAATAAATATAAGTATATATGAACTTTATTTTTAGGATTCAAGCAGCAAACAGTGTTCTTAAATTATCTTCAAAAGTTGTGGTTAAAAAGTACCTTGGGATTGAAGACCTGCTAGAAACAAGCAACAAACCTGTTGGAGCCATTTCTTTTTTAAAGAGAGGCTCAGGATTACGCCCAGTCATTGAAAACCCAGATGAAGATGTCTTCATTCAAGCTATGTTGAAAGTAAATTATGGACTAGATAGTTACAGTTTAACGAGGGGATCGGCTGTTAGAGCAGCTTCAGGGGAGATAGTCCACTCTGGACAATGGGTCAAATTCCTGAATGAAGATGAAGATGTAAGTGCAATTAATCATAGACATGAAGTGCCAGTTTTTGTGGGAGTTAAGAATGTAGATGGTACATTTTCAGATAATTACTCCAAAAATAAAATTTTGAACTTTCTTTACATAATTCTGAGATATAATTCTGCAATTAAGGATGTTCCCTACTCTTGTTTTAAGTTTATAAACTTTTCCAAAGACTGTTATAAATTGAAAGTATATTATAAAAGGAACAAAAAAGTAGAATAAAATGAAGGGTCCATGTGCTTTTTTTTAGATATAAGCCATTGAAAATTTGGCTGGAAATAAATCTCTCTAGACTTTTCATAATTTAACAATGACAGCCTTTTTCTTTAAATAATTAGAAAAAAATTACAAGGATTTTATAGCATTTTCAAATATGGCTTTTTAAACTATATGTAATAAAATTATGAAAAGAAAAGTAGGGGTTAGCGGGGAAATTTTTTTAGTGGCAGTACATGGATAAAACCAGAGGATTCTGAATATCTGACAAAAATTCAAAAACATGAGGAGCGAACATCCTTAACAGGAATAGCTATTTTTATTGCTAAGTTTTACCAAATTTTCCTTTGCACTAATTACTGACTGATAATTTCCATTTTCAGCACAGTGGAAATATATAAAAAGCTAGAGTTTTTTTTACTGCAATGAAATGTAGTGACATACTATGGTTTGGTGGTATAACATCTTAAGGGCAATCACTTCCACAAAGAGTCATAGTCCTAGCTAAACTATATCGTCAAAATTTTACTTGTTAGTAGATCTTGACTTGGTGTTTACAGTTTATTTCTATCTATAATAATATTCCAGATAATGACAAAAAATTGCAAAATTTCCTTACAACGGGTTGTCTGAATCGTCTGAAAAAGGAGGGTCAAAGATATACCAGTGAGACAGTCAAAATCATAGATCCAAAATAAAATGACATCGCCATTGCTAATAAAATGCTCCGCTGGGCACAGCTTGATACGACCGCAGAGGTCGAACCCTGAACAGTTGGGGCAAGTATGGACACAACATTCAAGCTTGATACAGCACTGAATTTGGACAGTGATTAAATATTTGACACAGCACAGGTTTCTGACACAGAATGAATGTGGTCTAAGAACTTAAGAATTTTTAATTTACCTTTTCAAACCATATCATTATTATTTGCTTTTATATATAAATCAGAAATAACCAATTTAAAATAGAAAATTTTAAAGAAAAAAAAATCCCCCCCCCCCAAATTTTTTGATCCCCCTTATGATTCATCACCCCCAAACTCAATCCCAGCCTTCCCTTTGTGGTATGGTACCTGCAGTACAATTTCAGAGAGATCCATACACTTGAACACAAGTTATTGTCTGGAAACTAGAAAAATGCTTGTTTTTTGGCCACTTTTTGGCCCCAAATTCCTAAACGTTTAGGGCAATTACCCCAAAACTCAAACCCAGCTTTCCCTTTGTGATATGTAACCTTGTAGTACAATTTCAGAAAGATCCATACACTTACACACAAGTTATTGTCCTGAAACTAGAAAAATTTGTTTTTTGCCCCCTAATTCCTAAAATTTTGAAGCAATTACCCCCAAAATCAATCCCAGCCTTCCCTTTGTGGAATGGTACCTTGCAGTACAATTTCAGAGAGATCCATACAATTGAACACAAGTTATTGTCTGGAAACTAGAAAAATGCTTATTTTTGGCCCCTTTTTGGCCCCTTATTCCTAAACATTTTGGGCAATTACCCCCAAACTCAATTCCAGCTTTCCCTTTGTGATATAGAACATTGTAGTACAATTTCAGAAAGATCCATACACTTACACACAAATTATTGTCATGAAACTAGAAAAATGCTTGTTTTTTGTCCCTTTTTTAGCCCCTAATTCCTAGTATTTTGAAGCAATTACCCCCAAAATCAATCCCAGCATTCCCTGTGTGTTATGGAACCTTGTGGTACAATGTCAGAGAGATCCATACACTTAACACACAAGTTATGTCTGGAAGTTACAAAAATGCTTATTTTTGGCCCCTTTTTGGCCCCTAATTCCTTAACTGTTGGTACCATAACCCCCAAAATCAATCCCAACCTTTCTTTTGTGGTATTGAACCTTTTGGTAAAATTTCATAGAGATCCATTCACTTAAACTAAAGTTAGAGTGCGAAAACCAATGTGTCTTCGGACGATGACGACTACAACGATGACGCCAACGTCATACCAATGTCGTATAAAAATGAAAAAGACACAAATAGAAAATAGATCTTAACCTGATGATCAATTTTACCATATGTTCAATTTACTCTTAATGCTTTAGTTTCAGAGATATAAGCCAAAAACTGCATTTTACCCCTATGTTCTATTTTTAGCCATAGTGGCTATGTTGGTTGTTAGGTGTGGTTGATGGATTCATTTTTTAAACTAGATGCCTTAATAATGATTTTGGCAAAGTTTGGTTAACTTTAACCAAGTAATTTCAGTGGAGAAGTATTTATGAAATTTTATGACAACAGAGGCTGATTGACGACAGAAGCCAAGTGATGAGAAAAGGTCACTTGACCCCAGGTCATGAGCTGAAATACAGGACAACATATTTCATCATAGCCCCCTAATATATTCTTTTAAGATCTTTACTTGCATACAATGTAATTTCAGTCTATTAAACATTAATTCAATATTTCATATTTTATATTTCAGGAATGTTTTGCCCAGTTTAAGGAAGGATTTATTGTTAGGGATAACAATTCAATCCCTAAGAACATTGCACTTCTGGATGTTCTAAACTTTCTAGATGACAAGGAGGCAGGCTGCCCAAAACTCAAATTAACTGGAAATATGTTAATGATTCCAACTGAAGCAGTGGTGAAAAGGGCAAGAATGTATCATGATTGCAGGGGAGGAGCCTGTAGAACTGTTCAACGATTACAGACAGAAAGAATTGAGCAGGAACATGTTGTAAAAGAAAAGTTGTATATAAAACATAATTCACAATATAAAGTATATATTTTGAATATTTATGCTCTTTAAGGTAGTTCAGGGGTTTAGACAGAATTTCCTTATACTTTGCCAAAATAAAGATTTTACTATGCTTTTTTTTTTAAAATGATATAAAGTATGGGTCACCGCACTTTTTTTCAAGGTACGAGTAGTTCAAAATTGCCAAAATCTGCTTAGATTGTTCATGAAAAAACACATTTTTGTGCATTAAAGGAAATCTATGAGACAGAATTTTGAAATAAAATATGAGAAGATAGGTATTATTATATATTTTAAGAAAATAAAAAGAAAAAATGGTTTCACCGAAATTGTTTTCTTGCTACAAGTAAAAAATGAAAATTTCCCTATATGTCCAGTATAAATTATGTACTAAAAGAGCTATCTCCCCTTAAATGGCTTATTTGAAAAATTAATTCTAAAAGCACAAATATTTGGTATTTGTTAAAACATTTTCGATAATGCAATTAATAACTAATTTTTTTTTATAGATATAAACAGTGTGACCAATAAATTGCAAATCTGTCTCCAAATTTGCAGATTTGGGTAAAGAACTAGACCGATTATTTACTGTGATTGTACAATTCAAGATGGCGGTATACCCCTGAACTCCCTTAACATGTATATGCTATCAATTTTTGAAAGAATCAGGAAGTTGGTGAAGCAACACCATATGCATTTGCCACATTGAATATTTGAGCCATAATTGTTTGATAGAATGATTGTAAGGTGTGAATGTCTGTCTGGCATGTGTAAGTTGAACTGTACCTAATTTTCATGGTTCATTGGTATAAGTTAATTTTTTATGAGGTTTTCTCCAGATATACTTTTAGAAATAGGTGTACGTATGGTGTATATGATGATTGTCTGAATTCATGTTTCTAAATGTTAATTTAAGGTAATGCTTGTGGTATACTCTCATTTTTTCATTTTTTCATACTTCCAACATAAATTCAAAAATGAACACTTGAATGTTGAAAGATCTTCTTCAGATATTAAACTAATTGGATTGATTGACTTTGTAAAAATTAAATATTATGGGATCACATCCTGAGATTTTTTTTAACTATAATTATTTCTTACAAATTTTTAAAATTAAATATACATTAAACTGACTGTTATATCAAACTTTTATTATTTGCTTATTATTCAATACATGAATGCTAAGAAATGTTCATTAGGGGTTGTATGATATTAAAGTCATTTAAACACATCAATTTTGGCATGAAATCATGAACTTTCACATTCAAAAGAAGTTTGAGTGTTTCATGTTTTGTAATAAATATAAAATTACTATATTGTATGTCAATGTGATTTGATGATAGATATAAACTTAATTTACTGTCAGTTTATGTGGTTGTAATGTTCATTCTATCATATTTTTTATGATAAATAAAAAAATTATGCCTTCACAAATGACATACATACTAACTTAGGAATTCCATATTTAAAATTTCATTTTGGCTTTATCAAAAACATGCATCCAATTTTAGCAGAACATGATTTGCAGAACAGGATGCAACCCTCTGGCGCACCTTGAAAAGTCGTAAGGTTGTAAGTCCCTGGCGTAGATGGAATATGCTCGTAAACTTGACCTGCTGCAAATCATAGTATGGGTATAATGGGAGATTTTATTTTAAAAATATGCTGGTTGATAAGTAAGTATGTATGTTGTTTGGGTGTTTGGTGAATTATATCCTTAGTATATTCAGTTGTTTTCTTGAATTTTTCTCTTTAAACACAAACACTGTTTAAAGGATTAAATAAATAGTGTGCTTCACATTTTTTCCTTTTTCAGTTACTAAATTAAGTAAATATAGTTAATAGATATAGGAAGATGTGGTATGAGCGTAGTCTATTTGCCAATTCCGGTAATTGACCCTGTAATTAGAGATCCCTTTTATAGTTGTCTCCCTTATGAGGGACATTAATTTTTATTTACAATGGAGAGCTAGCAGAAAAAGCAAATTTACCTGTGCGTAATGTGAGTAATCTTTAAGGTTTTAAATCTTTTGATTACATTAATTTGTTGTTAAGCTAAATACTTTTGACATCAGAAATTATTTTTCATGAAAAATTAGTTAAACCGCTGATATATCACTTTCAATTAATCATGCTTTGCATTGGCAACAGCCAATTTTGTCCGGTATAGAACCAGACTACAATTGACAAAGGGAAGTGATTTGTTTAAAAAGTGTGTAATAACAGAATCAAATCGGTAATTGGCAAATGGGCTATTGGTTTTACTAAAGGCTGAAAATTGATATCTAATACTATGCAGTTTAACAAGAAATTCCAAAAACCAAATACATTGGATGACAACTTCTAAAAGGCATTTTTAGACACTGTGTTGTGACTGTGAACAGTATTATTCACTATTTATGCTGTTGTTGCACACTGCTTGAATGGTCCTTTGAAATAAATACCTGTATGGACAAGGGCATAGCTTTCAATTTGGCAATGAAGGTCAGGGTCTCAGGAAAAAAAGCCATTATGAAAACAAAAAACCATCAGAGGTTTTACACCAATTCCACAGTCCACACAAGAGCCTGAATCGTTCACCTGTAATTTTTGGCTTAAATCTTTCATTAATGATTATTTTTGCTTTTCAATATATATTAATGCATGGCTTAAAACTTCTATTGAAATGTTCTTTGTATCTGTCATATTTTCTTCAAAATCAAAGAAAGGCATTTTACCCCTTTGTTTCATTTTATCCATAGTGGCTATGTTTCTTGACTAAATAAAATGCAAATTTATACTAGATACTCTGAAACTCATTCAGCCCAAGTTTGGCTGAAATTGATTCAGCAGTTTCAAAGGAGAAGATTTTTAAAATCAGCAAACTAAATGAACAAATTGTGAAAAATTGATTTTAAAGGGCAAAAACTCCTTATGGGGACAATTCATTGACAATTTTGGTAATCAAATTTATTTGTAGATCTTACTTTGCTGAACATTTTTGCTGTTTACAGTTTATCTTTATAATTAATAATATTCAAGATAATAACCACAATCTGCAAAATTTCCTTAAAATTACCAATTAAGTGGCAGCAATCAAACAATGGGTTGTTAGATTCATCTGAAAATTTCAGGGCTGACAGAGCTTGGCCTAATAAACATTTTTACCTCTCTCATCAGATTAGCTCTAAATGCTTTGGTTTTTAAGATATAAGCCAAAAATTGCATTTTACCCCTACGTTCTATTTTTAGCCATTGCGGCCATTTTTTTTGACGAAACAGTCAATAAAACACAAACTTTATTTGAGATACCCTAAATATCATTCAGCTTAAGTTTGGTTGGAATTGGTTCAGTAGTTTCAGAGGAGAAGATGTTTGAAATAGTTTACACCAGACGGACGACGACGGACGACGACGGACACCAAGTGATGGCAAAAGCTCACAGTTCCTTCGGAACGGTGAGCTAAAAAGAATGATTGTGCAAGTGGAGCACCTGTGTACTATGATCACATTCTTGTTTCTTAATGAATCAAGATCATAAGATTCTGTGTTTAAATATTATAAATGATCATGTCTATCGCAACTACTTATCCTAAAGCAATTACAGACCACTAACAGGTCTTATAGATGAAAAGCTTTTTCTGTTTGCATACCAACTTTAATGCAACTAAATTAACAGTCAACAAGCAAACTAATCAAATTATAATTGCAATGGATTTTAAAATTATGATTTGTAAACAAAACAAGATATTTAACAAAAAGGAGGTTAGCAATACATTGTATTGTTATGAATCTGCAAGAGATTCTGTACCAACGAATATATAAAAAGCTCTATGTAACGTTTAGAAATAAATCATTTAGATGAAATAATGAAATATCAGGTGCAAATAACGTGTAAATAAGGTTATAAGATATACAAGCTGGATTTGAACATACCATTGGATAGTAAAGCCTTTTATATGCTATTGAAAGCAAAAAAAAGTGGTAATGATACAGGATTTTTATAGCTGAAATGATATTTAAAACCACTTTCTTCCCCCAAAAAAACTAAAACCTCTGGAGCAATGCCGCATTCTACCCCAAACTCCTTACCTCTCATCAAGGACAATTACACTTATGGTAAGACTGCTCCCTTACAATTGACAAAATAATTTAGTGGTGCCCAAAATATTTCTAAAAGTGCACCTTCCTGTTTGAGATATACGTTATATATATAATATTTATAAAATGTAATTGATATATGACAAATTTTGACATTTTCTAATAACATTTTTTTAAATGTCTATTAAAACATATGAAAACATATGAAAATCATATGTTTTTCATATGTTTATAAACATATGTTTATATATGTCATAAAACATATGGAAACATATGTTTGCTTACATATGTTTTCATATGTTTCAAAACATATGTAAACATATGTTTGTAAACATATGTTTATCATATGTTTGTCCTAAACATATGAAAAACATATGATTTTCATATGTTTTTCATATGTTTTGAAAACATATGAAAAACATATGTTGCAATTTTTCCTGTGTATATGTGTCTGTCCTAAGTCAAGAGCCTGTAATTGAGTTGTTGTCGTTTGTTGCTGTTTATCTTTTTTGTTTTTCGTCTATTGTTTTGTGTAGTGTATTGTTATGTTGTGCTGTTACATCACTGTCCAGGGTTAGGGGAAAGGTTTGGCGCTATATAACATTCTTATCCCGCCACAGTCTTCATATGCCTGTCCCAAGTCTGGAGTGTCCAGTAGTAGTCGGTGGTTCATGTCTGTTATATTTGTTTTCCATTAGCTGTTTTGTTACAAATTAGGCCTTTAGTTTTCTCAATTGAATTATTTTATATTTTTTTTATGTCGGAACCGTTTATAACCGACTATACAATATGTGTTTTTCTCATTGTTGAAGGCCGTATAGTTGCCTTTAACTGCTTACATTCACATCATTTGAACTTTGGTGGATAGTTGTTTCATTGGCAATCATACCACATGTACTTATTTTTATCCTCATAATTAAATGTACATAATTTTGTCAGAAAATGTTAGTATAAAAATCACCGTCATCAACTTATTCATTGTCTGCTTGCAAGTGTTTATTGTAGGGGAAACCTTACATTACAATGTTTTCAATTCAGTTCGATTTGTTATTTTTATATTGATGTCAGTAAATCGTGTTGACATTTAAATCTATTAATAGTTAAAAAGTCGATGTATTAAAATTCCTGTGAGTGTATTTTCAATAAATCGTATTTTACGAAAATATAATATTTTTCCCCATGTCAGTATAAAAGATGCAGCAATGTTCCCAAGCAATTATAACTCAATGTTTCATCACAGAAGTTCGATTAAAGGTAAGTTTTTAATGTATGTTACGATTAACAAGGGTAGTGAGCAGGGATTAAGTTATCGTTTTACTATTTGTGTTACAGTTATTTCCCTTTAACTGTTTCTTTTAGTTTCATTTTTCACGAACTAAGATATGATCAATTGATACAAATTTTCGAATATTTACTAGCATAAAGCATAAAGTAATGATATGATTACATTTGAGGTATGCCAGGATTTTTTTAAATGGGCGGCGTAGTTCCATAAAAGCTGACATATTCTATTGAAAAATATTTTGGAAGATTGTATGCCAAAGTGTGATATTTTATCCGATGAATGTATATGTAGTTTTGGTCAAATTTACAAATGTTGTCTGGGGGAAATCTGTAAAAGTGTATATAATCATGATAATACACATGAAGCATGTCGGAAGCATTTGTCACTTTTCATATGAAAAAATTCATTTAGAGCCAATAGACATATAAATATATACTTTGATACCAACTTTACATTTTTGTCAAGCCATTACAAAGAATCGTAGACCATGCCAATAAAAAATACCAAGCGATAAGCAGTCTACTTGGAGGCATTTAAGGGAACGTACCACATCAACCTACCTTGTAAGGATAATGGCTAAAAATAGACAATGTTTATAAGGCAAAAGCCAGCACTACAACACTTGCGCGCAGTAATAAAACAACGTCTCCCAGAGGACACTTAACTCTTTCTTACGTTCTTAAACGTTCATAACTGTATGACTTTCAATTGTTCAAAATATCTTCACTGAAATGCAAAGCTGTCATAATTGTTCAAAAGTTAATCTTAAATGAAAAGACAAGGCAGTGTCGTAATTAAACACTAAGTGGATTTTCATAATCTTCGCCTGAGAAAAAAAAATACTGTTGGTTTATTTTTCTGCCCTTTTGTTTTGTGTTTTTTTTTTCATTTTGTATGCATATGATTTGTTAATAACATTTGCTTGATCAACGTATTTAGTATACGTATGTGTTAATATTGTTAAAACGGCTAACTAATAGCTTTAGTGTAATTGATTTCACTCTTATGCTGACACTCGGCTTTTGAAAATCTAGTTGTGTTATTTTAAAAGAACTTATTTGATATGAATATCGGTAATCAATTAACAATAATAGGATATACACGAATTGATAAGACTTTGCATAGGATATCTAAAAAAAAGTATCAAATTAATTGTTGTTGTTTTTCGTTTAAACTATTGAAATACCACACAAAACATAAGTTTAATTGACAATATATATTTTCTGAAAATTTGATATGGATTTTTAAAAGGCACATCATTTAAATTCGATTCTTACACTGATAATAAATTTAGTTTTCCAAAAGTAAGTTTTACATAATGCCTTAATTTTTAGAAAATGATCTTAATTTAACAACATCAGGTACACCGTTATGGAACAGTAGATAATTTGAAAACATTATTAACATCAATAGAGAATCAATGCACAATGCAGTATTGAATTAGATATGACGTAAAAGTCTTATTGAACAGAAAATGATTTTTATTGATATCAATGCAAACATAAGCATCCAGCAAATAGATATCTGTAATATGGATGTCATTTTCTTTACTGTGGATTCATTTTTTTTTTCGTGGGTACCAATTTTCGTGGATAGAGAAAAACTTGCATTTTCGTGGATATTTGATTTCGTTGTTTTGCAAAAGTCTGCATATAACCTCATAGAAAATTTGTATGGCGTTAAACGTTTAATTTCGTGGTTCACCTGTACCCACGAAATCCACAGAAATTGGTATCTAACGAATAATAATGAATCCACAGTAATTAAGTATATGTTTACCGATTTAAGAAAAATATATGTTGATCATGCCAACATAACCTATGACCTTGCCATCGGTCGGATTATAAACAGCTGTAAATGGCAAACAAATTGACGGATATATTCAAATCTAAACTCGAAAGCAATATTTTACATCAACAAGTAGTGTATGGTCATCATTTCCGTTTTGCCAATTTTCAAGCAAAATATACACATCTTAAGGTTTATACGATATTCTCTATTTTACCTTGGCAATCATGTAAATTCTTAATTTTCCTTTTAAAATTAAACTGTTTTATCGAAACAGAAATCAGTACTGTATGTATGTGTTCATCACTTCTAAATAAATATGCTGATTTCAATTTTGCATTACACAGCTTTTTAACGCAGACCAAAAAAAATTATTGTCTAGGTATGATTATGGTTTATAAGATTCACAGGGTGGTTGATACATGCGAGTCAAGAGACGCTTACCCTGTCCACGCATTCAGTAGAGATCATGTTGCTCCTCGTGGGTATCCCTTATACTTTTTCTTTTGGGAATGGGCGGTGATTACCTTGATTTGTCTCATCTTCATCGATTTACGATATTTCTACATCTGTCAACTACTGTCGCCTTGATTTAGATCAACACGCTTGAGTCTTTGAAACGACACTGATATATTAACTAATACGAGTTGAGTATATGTTCAGCGTTTTTTTTTTATTTCAATTTCTTTTTAAACGCCAATACAAGTAAATGGTTTTTAAATCTTCGAGTATAATTGTTTCAGGTTATTCAAAATGGGCGTAATATCATCTTCCACACGGAGTATTGACGAGGACAATGCTGATATCAAGAGAATGTTTGCGGCAGCAAAAATGGGAAATTGGGGGGAGGTATGGCGGATTCTAGGGACCCCAGGCCGACCACTGAAACCATATCTCATAAACCTAGTCCCAGAAGACAGACGATGGGGTTTACTCCAGCAGGCTGTTTGGTGGAACAATCTCTCTGCAATCAGAACTCTTCTACAGTTTCAAGCATGCGACAAAGAATTAAAGGCAAAGGATGGCATTTCCGAGAAAGGACCAACCAGTGGAAATACAGCTCAGGAAATAGCTGAATTGTTTGGATATTTAGAGGCTTCGAAAATCATTAAGAACCACATAACCTCGAAAGTGAGGAGGACATCGAAACATTCTATGATGGGAGTAGCTCTATCGAAAATGAAGAATATGGTCTATTTAGACTTACATTGGCGGCTTACAAAGGCGTTTTTCATCCGGCTGTTGTCGACAAAACGAAATCACTTTCAGCTTTATTGAATGATGTATTTAGACATGTGAATACAGGTAAAAACTGGGTTGCTGTTAGGGATAAAGTTGCACAGTCGCTTTACCCAGCATGTACGGAAGCAAGCGATGTAGTTAGTAAGTGTACCAACAGATTTGACCTCTACAGAACGATCGTCAAGGTATATACCGACGAAGATACCCAATTATACACTTATCTGAATACAGCTTTGAGGCGACAGCGTGATACGGGCTTCAAACCTACAGGAAATGATCTAGCACTCGGACCGTATATTCTTATGTTCCATCTACTTTTGTTTTGTTGGAGGGATTTGGTAAGAGAAAAAACGAAAACATATCGCAAAATGAAAATTTCTGCTCGAGATCTCGCAAAGTACCAACCAGGAAAAAAGTTTACTTGGTTATCTTTTGTTTCATCTTCTGTTCAACAGCAATGCGCTCAGATTTTTCCGTCCTGCACACCGAGTGGCAACATTGAAGTACATTTTGTTATTGATAACTCTTCTGATTCGCAGTGGCAACCACTCAACATTGAAAACTACGCATGTTATACGGAAAAAGAAAGAGTTTACCCAGCAGGAGCACAATACCTGGTTAAAAGATATTCAGTAAAAAAGGGAGTACCGACAATTCTTCTGAAGCTTTTAGGAAGCGAATAGTGACGATTACTGTCGTAGTAATACTAGATTATTGACTGAAATGGTATTGTTCTTTTAGTCACTCTGATATTGTTGTTTATCAGATTTAGTTTTTTGTGTATTATAATATTAATAACTATTTGCAGCGTTATTTGATACTATTTCATTTTCAAATAGAATTGTGATTGTTTTATAGTTTTTAAAGGAACCTATATATCTCTGTTGTAAATGATTTCAGCAATGAAAATGATACGTTCATTTAAATCCTACACTTTGTTGCATATTAAACAACTTCGAAATTTGCACTCTTGGAGATCAAGCGTTTCGCTTCAACATTAACATTTCCATCCAGAATTCTGCTGACCTAATCGCTTAAATCTGTAAAGCGCGGCGATTTTTATGTTTGATTTTGACAGGAAGGTGTCGGAATGATACTTTTGCTTTATGATCGCGTACAGGTACAATCAGTGGTTTCTTTTTTAGAAGATTCAAGTAAGATTTAAGGATCAGGCTTCTAGCTCGTAGCATTCCTAGTTCAATCAGTTGATATTCATTCGGGCTTCGTTTGGTGATTTGTTCTTTTCGTTAAGTGCTATTTATTTTTTTTCCGTTAATTTCGTATTGTGCACACATTAGAGAGAAATTTTCCGCATTCGAAAAATTTTCATCGATTCGGACTTTTAAATTGATTCGGACTTTTAAATTGATTCGGACTTTTCTACATAAGGAAATGCCTGTACCAAGTCAGGAATATGACAGTTGTACTCCATTCGTTTGATGTGTTTGAGCTTTTGATTTTGACATTTGATAAAGGACTTTCCGTTTTGAATTTTCCTTGGAGTTCGGTATTTTTGTAATTTTACTTTTTGTTGACCCGGGTAAACGAGAGAAACGATCCAAAAAGGTAATCGCTTGCACAAGTGCTGCCTAGCTGGAAACTGTCTGTGCCGTTACTACTCGCTATTGTGAAGTTCCTGTGCTGGCACAGATCTTGTCTCTGAATCTGTAGGATAACCGTTTGTTGTTATGGAATTCAATTGACTGAAAACCATTAACTTTCTTATTTTAGAGAATTATCTCAAATGGATGACACAGTACAAAACAGTCTTTTATGTTCAAAGTGGAATTTCCTTCATTTATTCAAATTCCCAAGCACCGACTTTTTTGTCAGGACCAATTTATTTTGCTGTACAAAAAATGTAGAACAAACCAAACGACATTTATTAATTTTATAAAATTTACAGGACAGTATTTATATTATCAAACTAGAGTTATATGTAATACGCTGTATATGTTTTGTAGGTATATATATTTTGTAAATTACATAAATACAAAAAATAAAAGACGACGAAAAGACGACACAAAACAAACACTACATAAAAAGATTATAATTAAGCTAAACTAACCCCACTAAAACTAGTGGATCTCAGGTGTACGGGAAGGGTAATTCAAACATTTTCTACTAGAGGCACTCTTTATGCTACTCATGGTAAGAACAAATAGGTTGATGAGTCTCACTAGGTGATATCACAATCAAGGAAAAGTAGAAAGAATTGTGGCTACAAAAATTAGAACATATTTGTGGTCATCTCTAACACAGATGATGTAAACGATAAAAACACTCATAATGGCGTCCGTTAAATTTTTCGAAGAAAATACCTCAACATTACCACTCGGAACCTTTGGTTTAATTCCTTTCTAGTAATAATGGAGTTAAAAATAAGGAAAAGTTGCTTATTCATACCTCACCGCTGATAATCCACATACAGATGTTTGGTCGTTGTGATATGATGCATTTTAAAAGGCTACAGAAAGAATAAAGAATACTACTTAAAAGGAATGAAAGATATGTCGGTTTACCTAAGGCATATCATTTTAAAAATTAAACAAATGTCTCTGCTAACCCGAAAATGAATTTGAGATTGATCAAATATTTAGTATAATATGCACTTAGCCTGTACAAACTCAGGAATATGACAGTTGTTTTGCATTCGTTTGATGTGTTGGAGTTTTTAATTTTGCCATTTGATTAAGGACTTTCCGTTTTGAATTTCCATTGGAGTTGGGTATTTTTGTTATTTTACTTTTTAGCTTTTACTTTGTATTTGACAAAACCCTTTCGGAATTTTGGGATAGCAATGCTTTTTAATTTTGTTCTTTTTTTGGCCTTTTTAACTTGTTTGAATTTAGCGTCACTGATGAGTTTTTTGTAGACGAAACGCGCGACTTGCGTACACAATTTTAATCCTGGTATCTATGAATTTATTCACAAAGAATTTGCATTGTAAGATTTAGATGAAATATTCTTATCTGAATCTAAAAAAAAAACAAAGGCTGAAACTGGAACTGTCAGTGACTGTACTCAGATGGTAAGTATAAAGGCAGGATCCAATAGAAGTCTTAATCTGTAGTCTCTTTTTGCCAATGAACAGATGTTATAAGTTAGTTATTATAAATGCAACGATCGTTTTGTAATTAAGTCATCAGACACAAGTGTTTTATTACTTTGAGTACAGTATTTTCTGCATATGTCAAACATTGTGGTTCCAGAAAGACATTATTTTTCAACCGAATTTGCAAGACGGTTAATATAAAGGAGCTGCAATGAAAAAGCGTTGGTTCTTTGAAAAAAGATAACCCGAACCCGAACGGTAACGCTTCTCCATTGTGTCTGTTATTTAAAATTTTGTTGGGACGTTTTTTCAAAACAACAGTTCTTTCATTAATTATGTCAAATCAGTGAGTTCAAAAAGCCACCTTATTATCTTCTTTTTATCTTTAATGGTTCACAACAAATAACCATTAATTAGATGTATACATGTTCATATGGTAGAGACATAATCTTTTGATCAGTTTTATTGAGGTCTGGAGATGGAATGTCAGTAACTGCGAGTAGTCCTTTGTTAACTTATGTTGATCATTGTCATTTTGTTTAGTTTCTTCTGTTACCTATCCTAACATCGGACTCGGAATTTTTTTAAACTGAGTCTGAGTTTTACTGTGTGTATTTCTTGTTTGTTTATTTCACATTAGCTAGAGGTATAGGGGTAAAGATCTCACAAAACATGCTAAACCCCGTGTTTTTTGTTGTTGTTTTTTTTTTTTTGTATCTGTTCCAAGTCAGGAACCTGTAGGTTGCACTTTGTAAATACAGCTGTTTCTCAAACCACGCCTCTTTTGGGGAGATATTTAATATTCATAGGTATGTTAATTTGTTAACGTACTGGTTCCCATTGATGATCTCTGTGTTTCATCTCATAGAGACATCACTTGGGAATGTAACCAGTATTGAAAAACATGGTAGCGGCTAAATTTTAATTCTTAGGAGGTCCAAAAATGGAGGTAAGGGTAGTATAGAATTTTAGTATAAGTTTAAACTCTTAGAAGTTCAGGGCATATAAATGTTGAAAATATGCCGCACAGCCCTATATTTTGACCTTTGAATAAAATAGTAGTGCATATAAACTTTCCGTTCTGGGATATTATTTTTCACGAAACTTCATAGTAAAAGTGTCACAATTTTAGCCGCAAAGGGAGTTCCTATGGAAAATTGCATTGTCAGTATTTACAGAATTGCAACCTATATAGGGTCAAAAAATAGAACATACAGAATTTCACAAAATCTGGTTTATCTCAGAGATTTTAAAGAATTTAACTCAAATATGAAGTTTTATAAATATTTCATGAAGATTGAGAAAATCCTGGGCCTTAACTATGATGACTCAGCATAAATTCACAGTTTACAGTATGCATGGTTTACTTAAAGCCCTGAATTCAAAATAAATTCATAATATATGCCTATTTGTAATTTAAATTGTTTAGAAGTGCTTATATTTACTCTTCGCAGTAATTGCAACTCATTGATCCTTCCTAAATATTTTTGGTGGGGTGTTTTTGTCCTGTCGATAACCCAAAATTAAGCCGTAATGCCTAAATGTGTTTTTTTGTGACCGCGGCATAAAAAAGTACAAGCTAGAATTACAAAAAGACCTCAATAAAACTTACAATAGTGTGTTCTATCCTAAATATGTAGTAAATATTCCACATTGCTAGAAACAGGGAAAAAAATTAGGAAATGTGAGGCCCCAGGGGCAAAAAACAGACAAAAAATGCCTACCCCTGAGTCATAAAACAGATAATTTAACTTGTAAATGCTATGATTTGTTTATTTTAAAGGTCTTTGGTAAAGTAAACAATAACTGTGCTAGGAAGTTATGCAAAAATCAGATGTAAGCAGTCATTTCAATCAAACTTTTAGTGAATTTATGCACCAGACTGATATCTTCATAAATACAACTTTTGCAAATATGGCTTTGTTTAAACACTTCTAGTTCATATATTAACTAACTTATGTTAGATATATGGTTAGGGATGATACTGTTGTGACAAGAATTCTAAACTGACCATTTTAGGCAGAAATTGTGAACTTTCTTTGACAAATAGGCATACAGTAAGATGTGGACTGGAGACACAGGCAGGATTGGATACTTTGTATAATCTTGAATGTTGGAATGCTTAACTACTAAACAATACATTTATAGTATTCTAAAATGCTTTCAATTTGTTATCAGAATAGTTTCAAACAGGTTTTGGACAGTTCATGTCAGATAACATGCACATAGGGTAAGCTGGCAATAATTAGAGTCTTGTTTTAAAATCTTTAAAAAATTGAAACAGGGGTAGGGATATAAAATTTACTGTAAAAGGAAACTTAGAGTATATGCAGTGATTTCTTTAAGGCTATAATTCTGATAAATAAGTATTGTTGTGAGAAAAAGTGTTTTTAGAGAGTTTTCTATTTGAATAAATGTTTGTATAGGTTGCACTTTGTAAATACAGCTGTTTCTCAAACCACGCCTCTTTTGGGGAGATATTTAATATTCATAGGTATGTTAATTTGTTAACGTACTGGTTCCCATTGATGATCTCTGTGTTTCATCTCATAGAGACATCACTTGGGAATGTAACCAGTATTGAAAAACATGGTAGCGGCTAAATTTTAATTCTTAGGAGGTCCAAAAATGGAGGTAAGGGTAGTATAGAATTTTAGTATAAGTTTAAACTCTTAGAAGTTCAGGGCATATAAATGTTGAAAATATGCCGCACAGCCCTATATTTTGACCTTTGAATAAAATAGTAGTGCATATAAACTTTCCGTTCTGGGATATTATTTTTCACGAAACTTCATAGTAAAAGTGTCACAATTTTAGCCGCAA